AGTATTGTAATATCGTAGATATAGTTAGTATGCAGTTGCGCCTAAACTTTTTTGAGAATGTGCATATGGACTGAAAGCACGACGGAACGCGATAAGAAAAGAATCTGGTTACTGGTTTATGCTTGGAAATGAATCCCTATTCTGGTTTGCCAATTATAAGATAACTAGTTTTTAACCCGACCAATGCACGAATTTTATATTACAATGTTGTCGCAAATATATTTTGATCAATAGTTATCATATCTAATTAAGCATGAGTTAAATTAAATATATTTTGATCAATAGGTATCATATCTAATTAAGCATGAGTTAAATTACCAAAATATGGTGATAGCAATATCTAGAATAATTTATAGTTAATAAGGTGCTCGTTTAGCACAAAAGGGTTTGCACCTAGGGGTGTCCAAATGGGCCTTAGGCCCGGCGCAGCCCGGCCGGCGCTTACCCCGGCCCGGGCTGGGCTCGCCCGGGTTTGCGCCGGAAACCAACCTGGCTCCGCGTGCTCGCCCCCCGACGATTCCGTCTACGCTCGCCACCGAGATCGCGCGCGGCGAATGGGGACAACCGCGGTCAGCGATGGCCGACGTCGGGGCCAGTCGGGTCGTGTCGGCTCGTCCAAAACGGTCACCTAGGTGACCGTTTGGTTGTTAAGGCTGGTCGGCCCGACCTGATCGTAACGACCAAAAACGGTCATATTTGACCTTTTGACCAAAATACCCCCAAAAACGGTCAAAAACAACCAAAATTTTAGTGTATTTTGGTCATTTGTCTAGGGGCTGCCTCTATATATAGAGGGGGTTTTCATTTATTTTTCTCATCCAAAAACCATCTACTTATCTCTAATACTCTCATATACTCTCTTTTCTTCTATAATTCTTCAATCAAATGGCTTTCTTCTCTAAATATGAAGGGCAAAATCCAACTCCCGATCTTCAAATGAGTCCTCCTACTATAGGAGCTACAGCTACTCCTCCTACTCCTACCGATGTTGATCCCAACTTCAGTGGCGACGATTCTACACCAAGAGCTCCTAAAAGGCCGAGATCCGATATGTGGAATATTTTCGAGAAGATATACGTCACCAAGGATGAACACGGTAGACTTCTCACCCAGAAGGCTACATGTGTGTTGTGCGGCCATATTTTCTAAGCTCATCATAAAAGCAGCATCAACCACCTCAAACGTCATTTAGATAAACACAACAAAGGTCAGATGCCTCAAGGTGATATCCGATAATCTTTATTCTCTCAATCCTCATCTTCTATTAGTCTCAGTAGTTGGAATTATGACACAGTCCGAGCCAGGAAATGTGTCATCAGATTAATTATTCTTAAAAATCTTCCATTTAAATTAGTAGAAGAAGATGAATTTGAAGATATGTTTATTGATGGTTTTTATCCCGCATTTAAACAAAAAATTATCATCAAACTTGTCAATGTGATATTTTAAAATATCATCAAGAGGATCAAGCAAAAATAATTTTTTATTTTTAAAGTTTAAACTTTAAATTTTCTTTAACTTCTGATATTTGGACATCTAAAGCACAAACTGGTTATTTATGTATCACAGCACACTGGATTGAAGATAATTAGCAAATATTTAAAAGATTTATTTCTTTTATTGTATTTGAAGAGTCACATACTGATATTAATATTGTAAATTTAATAATTGAAGAACTAACAAAATTAGAAATATCAGAAAGAATATTTTCTCTTTCACTATATAATGCAAGTAATAATAATGTAGCTATTGATTATATCAAAACATCTCTGTTATTACCATGTCATGGTGATATTTTTCATATTAGATGTGTGTCTCATATTTTAAATTTAATTGTTTAAAGTGTATTTGGTGAAATTAAATCCATGATAGAAAAAGTTAGAACATTAGCTTATGCTCATAATGCTTCTGAGCAAAGAATTAAAAGATGAAAATAATTTTGTAAAAGAAAAAATTTAAAACCCAGACTAATTCCAAAAGATGTTTATCATAGGTGGAATTCTACCTATGCAATGTTAAGTGTAGCAATATAATATAAAGAAATTATAAATGATTTTATTGCTTTCTATACTTCTAGTTCTAGCTCTGGTAGTATGTATGGAATAACTGAGGATGAATGGACAGTTATATGTATTTTAAAAGAGATGTTATAAGTTTTTTATGATGCTACTATGTTATTATCTAGATGTTATTATCTAACCATTACTTTAGCTGCTTTAAAAATTTTAAATATTCAAAAAAATTATTAAATATCGTATGGATAATTATTTTGGAAATATAATTTTTCAAACAAAAAGTAAATTTAATAAATATTTTATGCATATTCCTATTATTTTTGGTTTGGGGGTTCTTATTGATCTATGTTTGAAGGATATTGGCCTTCGAAGTTTGTTAAATTATTTGTATGGTAATATGCTAATAGACACTGATGTTGGTCAAACCATTACTGCTTTTACTCATCATAATACTATTAAAAATTATTTTCAAAGATTATATGACAAGTATGCAGCTAGATATAGTGTAACTACACATCAGCCTACAGGCGCTTCTGCTTCTACAAGCTCAAGTCGGGCAAAAGTGTGAGTTTTGATAAGGAATCAATGGTAGCTGAGCTAACTGGTGGATTTGAACTTAGATCATCAGCAAAGGTTCTGTAATTGATCAATATTTAACTGTATCTTTAGTTAAATGTCAAAATGATAGTTTGGATATTTTATAATGGTGGAAAGTATATGGAACAGTTTCATATCCTATACTTTTCATTATGGCTCGTGACTTACTAATAGTGTAGGTTTCCACAGTAGCTTGGGAATCCGTCTTTTGCATAGCAGGACGTTTGATCGACAATCACATGTGTAGGTTGTCTAAAAATCACTGTAGATAGTTAATCCCCATAAAACACAAATGATGGAGGTAATGATCTGACGACTTACATATCAATCAATGAGAGTTACAATTTGATGATTCTCACAACAACTTTTGCAAAAATAAACAAGAGTTACATGTTAGACCCTAGAGGGGGGGTGATTAGGGTCTTATGCTAATCTAATCCGATTAAATGCCAATAAAAATATATTAATGAGTATATCCTAGCCAAGTATAAAAATACAACAAGATACGTAAGCTAGGATAAGCAATGATGAACAAATAAATATTATCCTATCAATGAGGATATTACAAATATTATGAGCAAGGATATATGAACTAACACAAGGGTAAAATAAACAAACTACACAACGTGATAGGGTAATATGATGTGAGCAATTACACAAAGGCGATATAAGATATGATAACAAGAATAAGAACGATCAATGCAATCACAAACAAACGATATGTTTTACACGTTCGCGTCCCACGACCTACGTCCCCGCTCCTCACCTCGAGGAGATCTCCACTATCACAACCGGGTTTTCTACGTTCACCGAACAACGTTTACACCTCACACTCGGTTTCTAGCTAACCGAAAACTTTACAATTAACACTCTTGCAATCACACTCTACACCCACTAAGCGTCGTTGGAACTAGACGTGTCTCCCTCAAGTGTTAGAATTACAACCTTCTCGTCACCTACCCCACTCCTCTTGGACGATCCCCGACTCTCGCCACACACTTTCTCTCTTGCGTTACAAGTTGTATTACAAAGTGTATCCTCACAATTAAGGCTCAATACAAAGTGTTTGTTCTCTACAATGGATGAGAACGAATTGTAAGCTCACTCTCTAAGATACACAATCTCACAACCCAATTATACTATGAAGTTAAATACAATAAGCTCAAAAAGGTTGTGTGTGACAAAGAGAATATAAACAAAACTAAACTCAATGTAGTTCTAGCTTAATAACAATGCATAATCAAATATATAAAAAGCTAGAAATAGAGTTTAGCAAAACTTCTCAATATATCAAGAGTGGAGGGAGAAGAGTGGATGCCAAACACCAATAGATTGATCTCCTTAAGCTCTTGTTGAATTGAATCACAAACCGAAACACTCAATTTCTTAAAAAGCTTTTTAAACAAACTTAACCAAACATAAACCCTTGTTAAAACTTTCTTAAACTGTGTTTTAAAACTCACTTAGTTGTCTTGTTAGATGGAGAGGCTTAAATGCAATGGAGTATTATAACAACCCAAGACAGTCAAGCAAACCCCAAGGAAATGACCAAAAACCCAAAACAAACAAAACAGCAAAACTTAGCCGTTACTGTGCAACGCGCTCTCTGATAAGTCGATCTTGGAGTCGACTTTATGACAGTATACAGTTTTGGCAGATGCTGAAATTATGCGCTATCTGATTTGTAAAATCAGTCTAAAAATAGCAAATCAACTCTAAACATTAATGAAATTTGAGCGATGTTTCTAAAACATGTAAATAAACATTTTACAAAAAGAGATTTCTGAAATATCACTTCTCATTTGGTGAGAAATAAATCATTGAATAGATATTTCATATTCTAAAAACTGCTGAAAAACACCTGATTCATTCTAAAATCAATTGACACAGTAAATTTAACTCCAAAATTATAAAATTTTATAGGGAAGCTTAATAAACGCTGCTATATGAACATGTTAGAGAAGAATTTGACTTAATATCACTTCCCATTTGAGAGAAATAATTTATTTTGATTAAACTGTGTCGAA